TTCTTTATTTTCTGCTTTCAGAATACCACGTTGCTTTCCGTGTGGGAGGACAACAATGTAGTAAGTGATATAATAGTGCAAAGATCGCAGCCGATCGTCCGTCGATACAAAGTCCCAGTTCCTGGTGGCTTTAACGCCCAGGTGAGACTCTTAATACCACCTGGTGCTGATATGAGCGGTGCCACCAAGTATCCCATGCTGGTTTACGTGTAAGTTATTTTTCAATAGATAAGAAAAACTCTCTTAGATAAAGGTAATCACTATACTCTCATTTGTTACACACTTCAGTCGAGTAATTTGAAATTATTTTCACATTTACATGAATAAAAAACATGTTACATGTATTTGATTTTTATGAATTATAGTTTTTTTTATATAGTAACAAAATATTATATATGGTAGCATATACGAACTAGCATATACAAAATGTTTTACACAAAAAATATTTTTTGTGAACGTGAATCTTTATTTGATCGATATTTTATGATTTTATATTTTTAATTTTATATTTTATTATATTTTATGATTAATTCTATCTTATGTTAGTTCCATTTTCTGACTACAAAGAAACAACGATTTTGCTGAAATATCTAAAAATTTAGCTAGATATATATGAACAGATCTAAAAATAATTTTGTGATACTATCAAAATAATTATGTATAGGAAGCTGATTATTTCTAAAAACACACACGAGAGACACTTTTAATTGATACACATTCGATTTCACAATTGCTAAAATTATGAAACTAGAATACTGAGGAATTCAAAAAAGCACTTTCCAGCTATCATTTAAATTCTTAAATTACGTCGTTTTTTGGTGTATATATCTCGGTGTTCACTTAAAAAGCACCCATATTTATCGCAGCACGACGAGAAATGTGACAACGCATTCCGCGAATGTCATCAATCGGTTTCGTCATAATGCACTTGCGAGATAAACGTAATGGAAGAGCCGGTGACGAACATGTGGTAGCGGAGTAAGTCTGTGACGTGAAAACGAAGCTCTTCTTTACATGGCTTGAATTAGGATGTAAACGGGATGTAAAATCGTACAAAGCGATTCCGTATTCAGTCTTACGAAAACTTCAGCCTTCCCGATAAAAGCGGAACGGTATCGATCGATTCGCCCTGATATTTCTTCTAACGATGAAGAAATAATCGAAATAACGTTCGTCAAAAGAGAGCTCGTAAAACCAAACGTCTGCTTTCAATCTTTTTAATTTCTTTTTTCAATTTCATTCTCAATATTGAATCTTTTTTATATTTTAAAATATAATTTAAAATGCAATTTTTAAATGCAACATTTTGGACAAATATTTTTATGTTTCATTGAAATAAGTACAGGAAGTTGTAATGAAAATTATTTGTTTACATCGATTACGTATGTGTGAATCGATAGTAATTTTGTTATGAGAATTCTAATTCTTTTTTGAAGTCATTAATCGTTGTCGTAATAGTGAGATAAGCATTTTATGTTTTCCACATTTTGAAAGTGACACGTATATACGGCAATACATGTCGTCGGCGAACACGACGCTCGAGGCCGATATAACTTTCCGACGTAATCTTAATAATACCTAATTTGTAGGCGTTCTAGGCCGAGCTCAAACTTTAGAAAATACAAACAGCTGGCTTATGATGGAAGTTGTCACGATGTCCGTCCATAAAGTGTAAGCTTTACCTTGTACATTAACGGTTAGGGCAAAAATAGTAACGAGATCGTTAAGAATGTTTTATGTATATATTCTTTTCTTAGAATAACTGACTTGTCAAATTTTAATTCGATGGGTACATTTTATAAAAACATTTAATTTTGGAAAAATGCAGAGAATCTATATTATTTCGATGTAAAATACTGTAAGCAGTTGTAATAATGTAGTAAAATTTATTAAGATTTATTAAAATTGATTTATCTAATACAATTTTAGATTAATTTTTACATGTATGAAAAATAAAAATTTCAAAAGAGGATACCATTATGATTATTATTCCATATTTTAAAAATTTTTTAAAAATATTCTCTCATTGACATATAACTCTCTTGCTAGAAAGCAATTTATTGTTTCTTTAACTTCGCTTGTTTTGTATAACAGAAAAATAACGGAAACATATTCCATATGATGGAAACATTTAAAAATTCCTTATATATAAATGATCACTGATTTACATATCGATGCAAATGTTGCATCTCATTAAACATTCACATTAAAAGTTTTATCGATTTTTGAGAATACAGAATGACGAGTAGCGTAAAGTTAAATTCAAAGGAGAACTATTGCAATTGCCACAGTAGATGCGTCGCGTTCAATCGACAATGGCGAATAAAGAAAAGTTTGAGCTTGTATCATTTGCTTTATAGTGGATTAATTGTACTGTACAAGTGCGTGCGTGCGTGCGTGCGTGCGTGCGTGCGTGCGTGCGAAAGTAGTAGATCGCGCGGAGTTTTCCCATATCATGGATATTCGGATCGCTTGTTCTGTTTGATTTTTAATGAAATTTCCTATACATTCACAGTCTAGATCATCGATTGCGATGCTTAATGTTCGTGAGATGTTTTTGAAACTAAAGATGGGACCACAATCAGTGTAGAGTTGAGTGACGTTCTTATAATTACAAAATTAAAAAAAGTTTTTCTCGTCTTTTTTTCTGTTTCAAATACGATAACAATACGAAAACATCGCTAAGACTGTAATGCTCAATTTAATGACATTAATACTCTGTTTGTGTTTATGTACTTAACGAGATTTCTCTTGACGTAAGCACGCGATATTAGAATCTGTTGTGATACGATGAATAACAGCGACACGATGAAGAGCTCCATATATAAATAAAGGGTGTCCCAAAATTAACGCAAGATTTGAATTAAATAGAAAACACAGTTTTTAGTCTTTTGATTGTTATTTTTTTATTGAATCATAAAGTACATAGGATAGGGTTATTTGTGGAATAACACATCGGGCAAATGGCCTCCACGGCTTTGCATGCACATACGCACTCGTTTGTCGAAATTTTCCATGACCATTTTGCATAAATGTGGCTGAATTTCGTTGATGCAGCGTTGAATCTCCTCCTTTAATGCACGGGTGGTTGTGGGCTTGTTGACATAGACCTGTGATTTCAAATAACCCCATAAAAAGAAATCTAATGGTGTTAAATCACACGATCTAGGGGGCCAATTCTGATCACCTAAACGAGAGAGTACACGACCTGGAAACGTCTCATGCAGTAACTGAATTGTTTCACGAGCTGTATGGCATGTGGCACCGTCTTGTTGAAACCACATATTGGCCACATCAATATCATCCAATTTCGGCAGAAAGAACTGTGTTATCATGTAGCGATATCGAGCACCAGTAACAGTCACTGCTTGATCAGCCTCATTTTCAAAAAAGTATGGTCCAATGATGCCTCCAGCCCAAAATCCACACCAAACAGTGACACGTTGTGGATGCATTTGTTTTTCGACAATCACATGTGGGTTCTCCGTACCCCAAAATTGGCGATTAACAAAGCCATCAAGGTGAAAATGTGCTTCATCGCTTAGGATGATTTTGCTCGAAAAATCAGCATTCATTTGTTGATGTTCAATAATCCATTTTCACGCTCCATTTTCACTAACCCTAAACTGTCAGCTGTTAAATTGTTTTTTTTTTGGGTTGCCAACACTTTACTGCACAAATAGTGGCAAATTCAAATCTTGCGTTAATTTTGGGACACCCTTTACAAGGGCAAGTCAATAAGTTTTTAGAAAAACATAGTAAAACATTTTTTTTGATCAATTCATTTTTATTTCTCAACATAATCTCCTTTCAGCTCGATACACTTGATCCAACGATTCTCCAACTTTTTCTAGTCGTCTGAATAATATGATTTGTCCAACCCTTCAAAATAAGCCTCTGTTTCGGCGATGAGCTGCTCTCTGGTGGTGAATCTCTTTCCTCTGAACCATTTCTTCAGGTTTAGAAATAAGAAATAGTCGCAGGGGGCTAAATCTGGCGAATGTGCTGAATGGGGAAGCAATTTGTAGCGGAATTCGTTAAATTGGCCATCAGTGTCGGGCATGTGAACCCGTGCATTGTCTTGACGGAAGAGCACTTTCTTCTTCGCCAAATGGGAACGTTTTTTCTTTAAAATGTTGTTGAAACGGACCAATAAGACTGCGTAATAATAGCCATCAATCGTTTGCTTCGACGGAAGGTAATTGATATGAATTATACCGTGTGCATCCCAAAAAACTGTGGCCACTTTTCCGGCCGACTTCACGGTCTCCACCTTCTTCGGAGCTGCTTCATCCGGTGAAATCCATTGTTTTGACTGGTCCTTCGTCTCGGATGTGAAGTAATGGATCCATGTTTTGTCCACAGTAATGAATCGACGCAGAAACATCTCCAAACATTGTTTTGAAATCATCATACGGTCGCGCTTATGGTCCACAATGAGCAAACGTAGCATTCATCTTGCGATAGCTTTTTCATACCCAATTGTTTGTGCAAAATTGAAGTCACTGTGCCATGTGATATGCCTGTGGCCTCAACAAGCTCGCGCACTTTCACTCTTCGATCAGTCAAAACAATATCGTAGACTTTATTGATGATTTCTGGCATAGCAGCCTCAATTGGACGTCTCGAACGAGATGCATCACATGTGGATGTACGATCACGTTTAAATTCATTCACCCAATTATATACAGTCGCAACGCTGGTGCAGATGTGCTATGAACATTATCCAACTCGGCTTTTATTTCTTTTGGCGTTAAAACTTTCATATGTAGATGTTTGATCAGTGCACAAAACTCGTTTTTTTTCATTTTGCAAAAAATACAAAGATTGTTCGCTTTAATCGTCTACAGAAATGAAACCATGCGATGAATTCCGCTCAAAATTTGACAGTTATCAGCTGAAAGATACTATTTGTCAAAAAGTAATGTGACATGACACTATGAGTGCCCTTTGACAGATTTTCTAAGAATGTATTGACTTGCTCTCGTATATATATCGCATTTCTAATTGTAACGCAATTCAAACTCATAAAACCAACTCTTTATCCAATTCGCTTTATTAAAGACATGAAGTATACTGTGATGACGTCGTCCTCTGTATCGGAAATAGCACGAGATTACACGTGGCATCATTTACATGCGTATTATTACATAAGATTACTACAGATCAGGGTAATGTCAACCATACCTACATATGATTTTAAAGCATG